ATTGCTTATTGGATGGTTTCTCTTTTTAAAATCAACTTGCAGGGGTCTTGTTTGTCTGAATGTCTGTGAATAAGGCCGTTTTCTGACGTAGGTTTGCCTGGTCCCTTTTCTTCACAGAGTCATTTGATGAGAAGTTCTAAATCACAATAGCGTGTAAGTCATCATTTTGTTTGTATCCTGCCTAAGAAATCCTGGGCATCAATATTTCTGGTGAAGATATTCTCCATGTGGCCTGAGATATTATAATTTTTGCCTTTTATATTTTGTTCCACGATCATTCTTAATTTAATTTTTGAGGGGTGCTAAGGAGTGAACTCAGGAGTCCTCAACACTGAGCTACATCCCAGCTCCATTCTGTATTTTATTTAGAGACAAGGTCTCACTGAGTTGCTTAGGTACTCACTTTTGCTGAGGCTGGCTTTGAACTCGCGATCCTTCTGCCTCAGCCTCCTGAGCTGCTGGGATTATAGGCGTGTGCCACCTCGAGCAGCCTTAATTTAATTCTTTATGAGGAGTGAAGTGATAGTTCCTTTCACTTCACCTCCCACCCCAATTTTGATATGTTTTTCCAGCATCATTTGTTAATCAGACTCGAACTGAGTCTATAAATATGGGTGTGTTCCAGTCTCCCTGTTCTGTTTCTTGATGTCGTCCAACACCAGTGCCACGTCCCCCCCATGCTGACTCTAGGATGTCCGATGAGTCTTGAAATTAGTGYCTGACACTGAACCCTGCTCTTCTCTCCCAGGATGTTCTAGGTACTCAATCACGTCCGCATTTCCATATAAGTTTTAGAATCAGCTTGTTATTGTCTTTAAAAATCCTCCTGGGGCTATGATTGGAATGGCATTGAGTCCACAGATCAACCTAGAGATAATTCACATGCAAGCAATACTGACATCTTCTGATTTTTCAATGAGTATATGCTTCAATTTATTTAGATTTTTTAATTTCAGTAATATTTTGTAGTTTTTAGCCTAATGGATTTTACATGTCTCTTGTTTATTTATCTCTAGGTATTGAATGTTTTTGGTATTACTGTGAATGGACGCCCTTCTAATCCCATTTTAAAATCATGTGCTGTGTGTAGAAATCTCACTGAGTCTTATCTCATGATCTTATATCTTGTGGCATCTTCTAACACATATGTATTCTAGTAGTTTCTTTGTAGGTGGGATTTGTCACGTAGGTAACCAGGCTGGCTGTGAATGGAATCCATTTGAACCTTCCTTTCCAATGCGCATAACCTTTATTTTATTTTCACACCTTATTGCACTGGCTAAACCGCAAGTGTGACATGGAGCAGAAGGTGTGAGGCTGTGCGTTCCAGCCTTTGCTAAGCTGGCTGGGTTGTCCTCACAGGCTCTTCTATCTGAAATGCCTCTTCCTTTTTTGTCACGTACCCCAGTGTCAAATAGATTCCTCTTTATGATTTACCAGTCACCTGTGCTGTGTGGGTCTTACACTGACCTAAAACCCCCGGAGGAGGAAAGCCACCTGTCTTCCCCACTGYACCTTCAGTGCACGACATGTGGCTCTCAGGTGACACTCAGTAAATCTTTTGTAGGATCAGTCCACACTAGTCGGGTATTTTAGAAGTTATGCAATTGATTTTCCTTTCTAGCGTTTTAACCTCCTTGGCCAAAATGAGGGGAGTGGTATTTCTTGCAAAGTGTTTCCATATTTCTCTTTCACACTTTATAGTTTTTGGAGGTCAAATTTCAATTCTTTTTTCACAGAAACCACGTGTGTCTATCTATTGCTTTCATTGATTATTTTATAAAAAGCATTGCAATCATTGGGACTAATCCTTGTAAAATACGGTAGTGGCAGATTGGAACAGGTTGCCCCTCTGGAGTATTCAGGAAGTGAGTGTTCAGGATTTGGGAAATTTCAGCAGCTCAGGTACAGAGACAGGGAAATGCATCCCACAGTTATTCAGTGGGCAGGTGGTGAGGCCCTGTTTTTATTATTTCAAATGTGGAGAAATGAGCGCTGGTAACGTGGCTCAGTGGTAGTGATCCCCTCGTATGTGTAAGGCCCCAGGCAGGTTCAGTCTCCAGCACCACAATAAGTAGAATAAACAAAATGTGGAGAAATTGCAGTGATGACGTGAACTTGTTAGGCAGAGTRTTTCCTTTTTGTGTTTTGAGACAGGATCTTACCAGATATATTTTGTAAAAGAAGGGCTGGGGTAAAGCTGGACCAGGGTTTAACCTCCTTATTGGRAAAAAGAAGAAGGAGAGAAAGGAGGGAGGGAGAGAGGGAGGGAGAGGGGGAGGGGGAGGGAGTGGGAGGAGGGACATATTCCCTCACTTTTGCCCTCTGCCCTCTGGTGTGGGCTCTGAGCTGAGTGGTGCTTCCTGCTTCCTGGGGATTCAGGGCTGGGGAAGGCAACTTGCTTTAGCCTGGAGCAGGAGCTCTGGGATCCACTCCCTCTTCTTGCTGCTTCATTGTAAGCGCCCCGCTCACTGGGCTGGTAGAGTGTAGACRCAGGAACACCACTAGTTCCCAGCAGTAGTCACGGCAATGCCTTGGCTTGTTCTGCACCTCGACCATGGAGACTGTGTGACAGGAGCAGGTGGAAGCATTGAACCTGAGGGTCCCTCACCTCATTGCACTCTCTCCTTCCCTGGGGGCCTTTCTTTTCTGCTCCTCTTCCTCCCCCTCCTCCTCCTGCCAACTCCCCTCCCCCTCCCCTCCCCCCTTCCTTCCTTTTTTCCATTCCTTCTTCCTTTGTAGTGGGAGGTGACAGAGGGAAGTGACCAGAGGCTTGTGGTCGCTTTTGGTGGTCACAAGTGCTGCCCACCAAGTGTGCTGTGCAATGTGTGAGAGTGTGTGTGTGTGTGTGTGTGTGTGTGTGTGTGAGAGGGGGGGGGGAGGGAGAGGGAGGGAGAGAACTGATAGAGAGGCCCCTGAAGGGAAGGGAGGGTCCGGGCTGTCCATGTTGAGGATGCAGGAAGGCTCCCTGAGCTGGGGACAGCAGGAAGAAGCCCTGAGGAGGCAGAGAGGGAGCCAGCTTCCTGTCAGGTTGGAGAGGACAGTCACCCCCAGGTTCCAGGGGCACCGAAGGCTGTGGCCTGTCTGTCCTAGGAGATGGCAAAGCCCGTGGCCCAGGGAGTCTCTCTCTGTCTCTCTTTTTTTTTTGGTCATCAAAATGTTTTGAAAACGTCTGCATTTGGATATGTTCAACATATCCGAGTCCAAATTCTCATTTTAGTTTTCCAAAAGTAGAAGAAAAGTCACACAAAACAGAAACGGAGACTAAGGACAGGGGCACGTGGAGACTCGGATAAACGAGTACCGGCCAGTGCCTAGCGGTGCAGGGGGTTCTGCTTCTTATCTTCCTGTTCCCATTAAGGAAGCACTGCATCCTCCGAGAGCAGAACACACCGTTTTATGAAGTGCCAAGGGACATTCATCTGCACAGACCAAGTTTGAGGCCCAGATCAAATTTCAGTAAATTCAAAAGTGAGATCACACTGTGTTCTCTGGCCACCACCAGGCTACGCAGTAACCACTATGTGGAAGACACCTGAGGAGTACCCCATTAGATTTGGAAATTAAACAGCCTGCTTCAGAGTGACCCAGGGGTCAAAGAAGAAATGACGAGGGACGTTAGAAATGAGTATGAAATGAATGAAAATGGAAAGACAGCCCTCACCCTTCCTTACGATCACTTACAGAGTCTGCTCCAGGCCTGGTGTCCCTCCTGTGTCCTGCTCCCCCTGCCCAGGTGCTGGGGGTCCTGCAGAGGTGAGCCTGGCCGTGCTCCCAGGGCCTGYGCCATCCTGGCCCTCAGAGGCCTGGCCATTGAGCGGGGTGGACTCAGCCTTTTTCTTCTAGTTCCCACRCAGACACTTACCATCCTCAAGGTCCTGTTCCTACACTATGGAGGGGAATTTGTGGAGCAGGACGCACAGGTGCAGATCCTACACCCGCAGGCCCCTGTCCATGAACACGGCCTCAAAGCCGCTCCTTGGTCCGTCTTACCTGGGGAGGAACAATCGCCCACCTCCCCCCAACCTTTTGGACTTTCTATGGGTCTTTGGATCCTCCTGGGGCTGCCGTTTCTGTGAACAGCCTTCCGTCCCTTGGGCTTTCCCGAGTTTGCTGGTCTCAGTGGCTCTCCTTGGCCTGGAGTTGCTTGTCCCGTCTGAGCGCCTTCCCCCCGTCCAGGCTGGAGGTGCAGGTGTGCAGAGTGGGGACCTGGTCACAGAGGTGCCTAGAGAGTGGCGGGCACATGTGGGCAGAGTCGTGGAAACAGATATCCACTCAGCTCACACTTGCTGACCTCCTGTGCGGTGGACACTGTGCGGCAGGTGGCATCTGACTTGTCAGCGCAGATTTCAGAGTAGAGGTGGCTCTCGGGTGTGTTGTGAGGTCTGAGCCGTTGTCCTTCCCCCAGAGGGGGACCGGGCTCCAACACAGGGTCCTGCCCCTCCAGGTGAGGCGAGGCTCCTGCAGGAGCAGAGAAGGAAGGAGGAAGACTGCTCCCACCCGGGGTCGGGGTGGATGGAGGTACGGGGTGGGCAGCAGGAGGAGGGGTGGGCAAGGCCACCGCCTCTGTCTCCTGAGGGACTTTGTCCTGCTTCTGTGGGTGTCACCTCTCAGCCCCACAGTGACTCTCACCTGCACTTCCTGCTGCCCGMACCTGCCGTCTGTCTGTCTTCCCTGCTGTTTACTGCAGTGACCAGGGGCCCCATAGTGTCCTCCCTAGCATGGCGCATATTGAGACGGCGGGTGGCGGGGTGTGAGCAGGGAAGGCACCAGGCAGCCAGGGTGCTGGGCTCCCACCTGCAGCACGTCCCTCCAGGAGCCTTCAGCCCCGTGAACTCCTGGTTTTGTTTTTTGTTTTTTTATTTATGTATTTTTTGTTGTTGTTTTTTAAGGCAGGGGAGGAAGAGGTTGAGAGATGAACTCAATAGTTTGAAGACACCCTCTGGGGTAAAATTTCAAAATTGTTCCCCACCCTGAATATTTTTATTCTTTTCCTTTAGGTTTCTTGCTATTTAAAGATTTTTGTTTGAATGAAATTAATGAAGCTGTCCCTCAGGTGAAGTTTTATGAAGAGGTAAGAAGTGACCGTTTTACTGATGCTTTTACTTCAAAAGCATATTTCAACTGTACTTTGGAAAGTATTKCGATGCCGACACCTCACCCACGCAGAGATCCAGGAAAGCCGCCGGCCGGGCCGGGCCTGGGGTTCGTTAGAGACGCCCAGGACACCTGGAGAGCCGGGTGTGCTCCTTCAGGCTCTAGAGCCCCACGGTGCAGAGAACAGCTGGAACCGAGTCCCCGAGAAGCGGGCTCCTCTAGAGGTGCCGGGGGAATCAGGCATCTGGGGAGCTGATTTTGGAGCCCTGAGCCCTGAGCAGAGGCAGAGGGCTCCAAATTGGAGTAACAGACCAGGGACTTGGTRGGACTTGGGACAGTCCTCAGACACACAGCTGGTTTCCCCACCAAGGCTGGGTCACCTGTGAGCCTGCAGGGGACTGAGGGGAGAGGGCAGAAGTTTCTGGAAGGCAAAATGAAAAGGCACTTGGCCTTTCAGAGCTTGGGACGTTCTCGTCCGCGGAGGGGAGGAGCTGAACACAGAACAGGCAAGAGGAGGACCTGGAGGAGAGGCCTGTGGGTCAGCTCTTGACTTGGGGTGCAGTGGGCAGGTGAGGGTTCAGCCCTGGCTCCGGGTGGCAGGAGGTTGCTTCTGGGAGGCGGGCCAGGAGAGGTTTCTGGCTGGACTGACAACCGTGTGAGACGGGAGGACCCCAAGCCCAGGCCGAGTCTCCCTCCCAAGATCCCTGAGGGTGGAGGCCCAGAGCTGAGCTGGGAACTCCAGGGAGAAGCGGACTCTAGTGCTGAGGAGGCAGAATCCCCTGCCGAGGCCCACGGTGGGCCACGCCCGGGGCAGGGTCCACCCAGGGGCAGGTGGGCTCCACAAAGATGGTGACCCAGACCCCCCCAGCTTGGTTGTGTGATGGCTGATGCGCCCCTCCCCCACCCTAGGAAGAGCCCAAGAGGACCTCGTCTTTATGTGCAGATGTAAGATGATGACATATAAAGATGTCACAGTGTCCAGGATACAGGGAGATCACAGACACACTAAGAGGAGAGACCAGGAGAAGCAGACCCCCAGATGGCGGGGGACTAGGGCCAACTGACAGGCACTTCAGAATTCCTGTGAATAAGATGGTCCAGAAGATAGAGGAAAAGACGGGCTGTGGGGATGGAGGGCTGTTGAATTCAGCACAAARGTCGTTCTCAGACAGAAAGTGCAGTGTTGAAGTTAGAACTTAATGTCGGGGTTCAGCAGCGGGGACGTCACACACAAGATACCACCGGTCGACAGGAAGCAGGTCAGCAGGTGACCACCGAGCAAAGCCGAGAGAGAAAAGTAACAGAAAAAAGAAATAGGTAAGACCATTAGAGCCAGGTGGGATCTGCTTCAAAGGCCTGCTTCAGTCAGAATCGGAGTTCCGGAAAGAAGAGAACAGGGCAGGAKCGGTGGTTGAAGRGTAAGGTCACAGCTCTCCATCTCCTTTCCCCGACTATAAACGGACTAAACCCCCCGAGGTAGACCTGCTTTCAGATGGATGAAGAAACGAAATTCTGTCATACACAGTTTATAAGAAAAACACTAACAACACTCACAGTAAGATAATTCTGACAGTTTTACTAAACGATACAAAGCAGCTTCTTACAGCTAAAACAAACAAACAAAAAACACCTTAGAGCTGGGGGCGGTGGCACAGGCCTGTCATCCCACTGAGTCGGGAGGCTGAGGCAGGAGGATCCCAAGTTCCAAGCCAGGCTCAGCCAAGGCGAGGCCCTAAGCAACTCAGTGAGACCCTGTCTCTAAATAAAATATAAAATAGGGCTGGGGATGGGGCTGAATGGTTGAGGGACCCTGGGTTCAATCACTGGTATCCCCTCCCCCCCCAAAAAAAAACAACTTAGGAAACTCTAAGCAGAATCAATTACAAAGGAGATGTATATTTACACACCAGTTTAAGGCCATGAACATTTATCCTGATAAAAATCTTAAAAGCAACCCAAGCCCAGAGCAAGGAAGGAACATGTTACTTTTAAGTCCCAAGTTTTCAGTTTTGTGAATAGTGTAACAAAATTGACACAGGTGCATTAGATCAAATAGGTTGGAAATCATAATCTAGAGCCCCTCTATATATGAGTTGTTATGTTCTAATTATATTCTTATTTTAATAACATTATATATTATATAATTGAAGTTTTCTCAGCTGTGCCCACCTGGGCCAACCTGGGTGAGGAGAAATAACTMTAAAACCACCAGTGATCAACCTAGAATTCTACAGCCAGCAAAAATCTCCTTTAAAAGTGAAAGTGAAATAAAAATATGTTCAATAAATAAAACCTGAGGGGATGGGTCAGCGGGGGCCAGCATCAGCAAGCACCCTGAAGACAGGAACTGGGGGCAGGAGGGAGGTGAACCTGGTGCTCTGGAGGGAGGAGCAGGGAGCACACGAGGGTGAACACATCAGTAAACACGGATGAGCTGACTGCCGAACAGTGGCTCCCYTCCCCAGAGTGAAAATGTGACCAAAATGTCTGTCTCACCAAAGGCAAGAGGGGTGCATGACATGGAAGTGCCTTAAGGTTCTAAGATGGTGGAGGGGTAGTCAAATGAGGGTTAGTGTTGGACTGACCAGTCCAGCCAGGGTGGGGATTGTAATCGCTAGGRTAACTGCTAAGAAAAACAAAGTGTGGACATCTAACAGTTAAAAGAGAAAAATGGAACATAACGACTGATTCATCAAGAAAGGTAATAAAGGAATACAAGGGGGACATAAAAATAGGTTAAACTGAAAACAACGAAGCAGAGTAAGATCATAGCCGTAAATACATTTAATGTAAATGGACCAGAATCACCAAGTAAAAGACTTGAGGTTTCGGACTGGATAAAGAAGCAAAACCCTGTCATATCCCATTTATAAGAAAAATATTTTTAACAGAAGGAGGAAGAGGGTCTATATATAATACACCCACCAACCAAACCTAATTGGTATTAGGTTGTTAGACAAGCTACCCAGTAATGCTACTTGAGATGGAGAGTGGGGTTTATTAATGATAAAGGATTCAACCCAATAAGTATTGAGTCTTAAGTCAGTATGTTGCAAATAACATAAGTTCTAAGTACATAAAGCAAAAATAGATTTAAAAAACAAGACAAATCTACCACCCTAATGGAAGACATTAATACACTCCCTGCTTACAGAACAAACAAAATAACTGATAAGAATATAGAATATGTTGAGTTGATGGACATATGTAGATGCCGAAGCCAGCAAAAATAGAATTCTCCATCTTTGAAGTACACACAGAACATTTATCAAAATAGATCATGTTCTGGCCCCTAAAGGGAGTGCCTACAGATTTCAAGATTGAAATTGCTCAGTTTCTTTTCTGAGCACAATAGGTTTAAGCTCAAATCAAATAACTAGGAAGTGCTTAACTGCTTGGAAATTAATATACCTCCAAGTAATTATAGGTCAAAGGAGAAACTAAAATAGAAATTAGGAAATATTTAAACTAAAATATATTTAAGAAATGACATAAGGTATTATTATTAACATCATTATTTTATTTTGCTTTAAAAAGCATTTTAAATGACCCAATGAAAATGTAGCATAATTAGGGCTGATACTAGTAACCTTTGTACGAATTTGAAAATTGGAGAAAAATTCCTTTCTTTTTGGCTTTTCATATRTATGTGAAAGTGCACAGTTTCCACTTTAAAAAATTATATCAATGTATTTTCAGGAAGAGTCATGAAATCATGATGAATATTAGCCGTCATGTAGAAAGAGTAAACTAAATCTAAAAAGATTTTATTGGGTCTAAAGTAACGTTATCTGAACCATAATCGGGAGTTTTATCTGAATAAGTCTCATGCTTCATCTGTCAATTTTTTTTTTCCTTTTTGTGTTCCTGAAAGYGCCAACTGTGTACTTGAGCGGTACTGCACCCCCTGGGCCAGGCAGAGGACCTTCTTTAGCAGATGACCTCTGCTGGGGTGCAATGCGGGCAGTCTCCTGTGGTTGTGGCTGAAGTGTCTTTGCAAACTGAGTGGTGGCCGCTGTTGAGGGGTTTCGTGTGAACTTTAAGCAATGGTGTTTCTCTTTGCTGACCACAGGCTGGGTCAGGCTCCTCAGAGGATGTCCTAGGGGAGATGAGATGCTCCAAGCCCCCAGCTCATATTCCTGTTGGATACCGTCCACCCGGGGGCTCAGGTCCCATCCTCTACACCATGGCGGCCTTTGAACACTGAGGCTTTCAGAAGAGTTTTTCCCCCACCCGCTGGTTTTATTCATCTAATATATCCATCTTTAATTTCTGCATGTTTTTTGACCCCGGTTCTTAGAAAATTCTGCTGCGGTGTCTGAGGCTGCATTTCCAATCTTACCTTTCTACTCGGCAGCGTCCCCAGACCTTTAATAGCTACCCACTGCCTGCAGGTGATGGTCCCAGCTGCTCATCGGGGCACCTGACAGGTGGCTGCATTCTTGTTAGCCACCTCCCCGCAACCCCCCACCCCGCCTGCCCGCCTTCCTAGCTAGAGCTTGCACTCTGGCCGGTCCAGGCCGCTGTGGCGTTGGCCACTTCTCTGGCCGGTCCCCACCTGGACGGCACCATCTCCTTCCTGGCTTGCAGCCGCCTGGYGTCTTTGGAGGTTGGCTCAGGACGGACGGTCTCACGTGCTCCTGGAGCCCTCACCAGCCCTAGGGTGGCACGCTCCTGTGAGCCACGCGGGCCGTCTGTGGTGTCCCTGGCGCCCCTGTTCCGTGCGTGCCTTCGGTGCTTCCATCCCCACCTGGATGCGATCCGGTGCCGGTGCCGCTGTGCCTCTGCCTGGCCGCCCCAGGCATCTCCCTCCGCCAGAGCCTGAGCTTGCGGGTGCACAGGCTCTGCTCTTGTACCTGAGCCGCTCTCGGGGACTTGACTTCATGTGTGGGCCCCAGGTACCTCCTGTCAAGTGAGGTCGGCGGTCATCCCCTGCCTGCTTTCAGCCTGGCCGCAGGGTGCAGGTTCCACCAGGAC